ACAACTCAAAATCAAGCCTGGCTGAACTATGCAGGGTTTACTCTTATTTTAAGTGTGCCTTGGACTTCAGCCTGAAGTGGTAAGCACTCTGAAGAGGAGGGAAAACAAACAAACAGAATCTTGATGGCATTCACTTGCTAAAATGGAAAACTCAAAAAGAAAAGGCACTCAGTCTCCTACACTTACATGATCCATCATAAAGTTCTTAATTTCACAGAGTGGTAGCTTGCACTCTGTGGTTTGTATCTGCCTAGCTCCCACTATGGTTTCATCAACTCTGCACCTCACCTTAAGCCTTGAAGGTGTTCTCTTTTTAAAAAAAAAAAATCCATAGAAATGTCAGCATGAGAAAGCATCCAATAAACTGTGCTAGCCACCTCCTTGCCTCTGCCACCTGGTATGAAGTCCTTCAAGGGAACATAATGTATAATGCAGAATTTTCATCAAGAGGTGGTGATGACTACTGGTTTCAATGGTTTATAAAAAGGGTAGAAAAACCCACATAAGTTAGCAGTGGTTGCTTTTCTTGTGTCTCAGGCAAACCTCTAAGGCCCAGTGTTCTCTGCATGCCCATATAGCTCTCCCCAAATCTATTTCAAAAATTTTGTACTGAAGGTGACACAAACATTAGTATGCAGAGCTGTATGCATCAACTGTACAAAAAGCAAGTGTTGATTTGTTCTGTAAACATCAGTAGAAAGTCACCCACAGTACTACATGGATATCATACAAGCACACATATAGGCTTTTTTTACAACCAAAATAACTGCAGTGCCCTCTGCTGTACGGAAATGGAATGAGGATAACTAGACAACCTCCAAAGCAAAACTGGAAGTAAATCAAGCGGACCACAAGCTGCAAACAGGTCTTCTCACCAAGCTTTCATCAGAAAAAAGTCTTATGTTGTATATTTAACATATTTTGCAAGCCTCTGCAACACAAATCCCATTTGCATCCTAATGTTAATCCTTTGAATATACTCTGCAAGTGTGCTCCAGGAAACATTCTTCTTTTTTCCTTTTAATTTTAGCTGGCAACATTTAAAAACGGAAACCTACAAAAAGGGGGAAAGATGTGCGGAGGCCATTTTGAGAAGAACAAAAGGACAAAAACATTACCCTTATGAGATAAATCTCCCCTTATGAGATAAAAAGTCTTTTTCACAAACTCTTCCCAAAAGAGCTCCCTGTCCTCTTTGCCACAGGTACTGCTGCTAAGACAATATAGACATGGGAGTGAAGTCTTTTCATGTGTTATAAGTGCAGGTGTCAGGCAATAAAGTCCAGAGGCCTGTTGAATCCACCTTTCCTGTTCATGTACTGCCTGCCAGGAAAGAAAGCAAATGTTAGCAAGTTACCCTGAAGCCTCATCTCTCAACTCCTCAAAGTTCTCCTAGAAATTTTCAGCAGGCATTATCTGTATGGCTTCAAACGTTTTGTTGTATAGCTAGGAGCTTTGTCTTTTTACAGAAAAATGAAGGCCAGTATTTTCTGGATACAAACTGTTGCACTCAACACAGAATGTGTTAATATTGTGGAAAAGTTAAATAAAGACAAACCTGATTTTTGCATATATTTAGCAACATGCATAGTGGAATGCCAAGGTGACAGTAGCAGGTCAATTGTACAGCCCTACAGCCCCACTTTGCGGGGAGAGCGGGGTAGAAATCCCAATAAATAGACAGACAAACAAACAAATAAACAAAATGGGTTCCTCAAATGGTAGCAAACGCATAATGCCGGTGAATCTCAGCAAGGAGGGCAGGAAGCATGGGGTAAGAGTCACCTGGAAGACCTTTTACTCTCTCACTAAGCCCAGTTTTAGGTGTTTTATTTGTGCTTAAGGGACTCAAGTCCCCTTCAAGGCAAATAGCTCACTGCCTTGAGTTTATGAATCTCTGGAACAATTCAAGTTTGGTAGATTTCAGCTGACCACCACAGATGAATATACTTTCCACTAAGAAACTTCCAGTCATTTGTGTCAGATCCCTCACCCTCCATTTTTGGGGTTAACAGAGAAACACAGAGTTCCTTTTGCATGCATTCCTGAGAATCACAGAAGGGTAGGCAAAGCAGCATTCTCCTCAGCACAAGAGGAATCTCAGTCACTACCAATCTGTGCAAGTGGAAGACATGCTAACCTGTACTTCCTCTTCTGGGATACGTTTATAGCATAGGCATTTACAGAGCCTTCCACTTTCTTGCCCTGAAAAGAAAAAACAAATATCACCTTCCAAGTCAGCTCTGGGCAGCAGTAATAAAAATAAAACATGTACAATCCTCAAGAAATCCATTATACTAGCTTTCTAGTCTATTAATGACATTTTGTTTCTCTTTGTGCCTTTTTTTAAAAAAAGCTGTTTGGGAATCTTTCTAGACACGAGTTCCTGCCAAAAGGACAAATTTACATTAGTAGTTTTCAATTTTTTTCAGGTATAGAGTACCTTTTCTTCAGAGACTTGCTTATGAGAGAATTCTTTTGCCCCTACTTTATGAGTCCTTTACATTGCAAAAGGTTCTGGAGGATATTCAAGAGTTCACAGTCTACCAGGGTGCTAGAAAAATGCAAGAGTCCAGTAGCACCTTAAAGAATAACAAAATAGTATTTAAGGTGCTACTGGATTATTGCTCTTTTCTATTGCTACAGACAGACTAGCACAGCTACCCATCTTGATCTATCACCAGGGTACTAGTCAGGCCTAGTGAACTTGGGCCAAGTGAACTAAGAGTGCCCCGCAGAACACAATCAATATGTTTCCTGCAGAGATGTATTGGAAGAGATAATCAGGAGTAACAGTTAACCTGGGATTCTGGAGGATTTCTGAACAAGGCAATATTCGAACAAGTTCCTAGAATGGTCTGGGTATTGAGATAGAAATTGGCTCAAGTCAAACAAGAGGAGCTACTATTTCATATGACACAAGTTTTAGAATTTAAGATCTGTGGGATTTTAAAGCCCTTTTCAAATTTCAGAGCAATGTACAATAAAAAACAGGCAAACAATAAATACAAATGTACTCTACTTTGGGGGTTTTTTGGTTTTACAAAACCAGCAGCAGAAAATCAAAACAAGCAAGACCACCAGAATATCAACAAGGTGGCCAGTTAACAATGTGACTTTCACACATCCCTTTGGGATGCTTGAATAGATGGAGCTAAAATAATTTAATTGTGTGGGGGAGGCAGAGAGCATTCTTGTGCTCTCAGGCAACCACGAAAAAGGCTCTGCTGCATGCAGAAGCCAATTTATAACATTGGTACTCCACCCTTCTCCCAAACAGCTTGAGACAGCATACAGTTACACCCTCCTTCATTTTCTCTTCACAAGGAACCTGTGAGGTACATTAGGCTTAAGAAATGAGTGACGACAGTAAGACTACTCAGTGAACTTCATGGCTACCTGGACACTTGAACCCAGATCTCCCCACTCGCAGTCCAATCTGGTATCCCTACAAGATGCAACATGAAACATGGCCTCTTCACCTCATCTCAAACTATGGGATCTTTGCATTTTGAGATCAACAAGCCCCAGGTTGCTTAGGACCTTATAACAAAGTCAGCAAGTTGAATTTGGCCTGGAAAGATACAGGAGGCCAGCATAACTGCTTTAGCACTGGTGCAATGTGTTCACACTTGCTAAAACCAGACAGCTAAAACCACACTTGCTAAAACCATTTTGCGCTAGCTGAATTTCAAAATTATATTCATGGGTAGTTCCATGAAGCGCACACTACACTGTCTAATCCAGAGGCCGCCAAGGCTTGGATGTCAGGAGCCAGAACTCTGTCTTCCAGCAAAGGAGCAGCTGCCAAGTTAGACAAAGCTGTAAAGTCACTCCTGCACACAACAAACACCTGGCAATTCAGGAGCAAAGCAGAGTCCAGAGCACCCCCAAGCTGAAAATCTGAGCTTTTCAAAGGACACCTGACCTCTCCCTTTAAATCAGCCCTTTCCCCTTTTAACCAGTCTATGCTTCCTAACACATCATCCGCCCTGACCTGCATGGCCCAGGCTAGCTCAATCTCATTAGATCTCGGAAGAGAAGCAGGATTGGCCCTGTCTAGTATTTGGATGGGAGATCAACACAGAATCCAGGGCTGCTAGGCAAAGGCAGGCAATGGCAAACCACCTCTGAACATCTCTTGCCTTAAAAAAGCTATGGGAATGCGACTTGATGGCATTCCCCCCAGCAACGCATCATTCACCACGAGTCAGTTTATTACCAACTTAAGGCACACAGGAGAAGATGAAAAGGAATAGAGAGCTGGGTATTGTCTGCATACAGATGACATTGTACTCCATACCTCTGGAGGATTCTCCAGCACTTCCGTGTAAGATGGTAAAGAGTATACAATGGACCCAAGACAGAATTATTCCCATGAGGTCAAACAGCAATCTCCTCAACATGTCTTGTGGACATCCCCCCTCAAAGGAGTGGAACCACTTAGAAGCCGTGCCCTGCAACTCCTAAGGCACGCAAAAAGAATACTATGGTCAATAGTATTAAAAGCTGCAAAGAAAACAAGAGGACTCAGCACTGTCACACTTCCTCTATCCATTCTCCCAATGCCAGTTATAGAATGACCAAGGCAGTCGGTCTCAAAATCTAACCCAACACACAGCTTAAATGGACGATTAACTTGAGCCTTGAATACTTGGAGCAGGTGGGCAACGACCTGTTTGTTTGCCAAAAGAGGTAAATTTAAGACCTGCCTGTAGTTATCTGGATCCCCTACACTTAGGCTTTGTGGGGTTTTTTTCAGGATAGGTCTCATGAATGCCCCCTTTTGCTATTTTTTCCAGTGGTCTTCAAGAATTCATAATCGCACGGATTGCATTGGCCCACTTGAACTAGCTTGACATCATTACCCATAACAGGCCAGGAGGACTGAGAAGGCAAGCAGTGGTATGACCCTATTCAAGTGTCTATGGTCAAAATGAATCTAATTAATCCAGTTATGCTCAGTACTGGATTACTCAGTACTCCCGCCCACCCAGCGGTTCGAAAGCAATTAATATAAGCGAGTAGATGAATGGGTACCTGCCCTTAGGTGGCAGGGGGCACCCTCCCCGTATGGGTGTGTGTGGCAGGAGCAGTAGAAGTTACTGCAGTGGCGGTGGTGACGGTGGAAATGGCGGCGATGGAGTGGCGTGCCGTCGGAGCAGCAGAGTGAAGGCAAGCGGAGTGATGGAGGTGGAGACAGGCGGAGCCACGGAAGGACGTGGTGACGTGACGCAAGCACAGCGGAGCCATATGGACGTAGCTGGGCTGTAAGCCGATACGGCCCACATACCAGACGAGCCCGTGAAAGAAAGAAAAGAAGAAGCCGCCGGGCCGGACGACCACACCAGGAACCGAGCACTGACACCCAAAAGGAAGAACAAACAGGAAAAACAGCGAGCCCTGCCACCTGGGTGCCAGTAGGCAGCCCCAACCCCTGTAGACATGTGGCCTTAGCTAGGGATAAATTTGGAACTTGTAAGCCGCTCAGAGACCCTTCGGGGTTGGAGCGGGGTAGAAATCGAAGATATAAATAAATAAATAAATAAATAAATAAATAAATACTGCTATAGGGGTCTTGGGGACATAACTACCAACAATGTATCATCTATGGTGTATCAGATGTGGGCGATTCACCCCCAAAGCTTCATGCAAAAGAAATACCAACAGGCAACTGACAGTTCTCATCAGGTTCAATGAACTATGTTTGGATTACTATATTGGTAGTAAAGAAATCATCTTTCTCCTTCAGCATTGTGTTGGCAACTTGCTGTGTAATGGAGCTGTTCTGGATTACTAGAAACTTAATCCAGCCATGGTTCAATGAACCTGATGGACAGAATTTAGCTAAATGGACCAATGGTCTGACCTGCTATAAAGTCTATGCTCAGTACTTTAAATTCCACACACACCTGATGGGGAAATTACAAATCAGCTAAAATTTGTAATTTCCCCATTGCACCCCCCAACCCCATTAGACTAATTCATGAAAGAGCAGTCTCTCACTAACTATTAGACAAGAAACCAATAAAATCTGGAGGCAGTTTGTCTGTCCTAAATAAAATCTGTCTGGAGGCAGTTCATCTCTTTTACAACAAATCTGGTTAATTAAATACACAAGACTGTTCTGTTGCTCCCTGTTTTTGTTTAAACAATTAAATAGTAATCACCAATCACTATTTATGGCATGATAGTTCATCCTACAAAGGAAGAGGTTCACTTCGCAAAATGTATGTTAAGAAATATTTCCAGCACCACTGCATTATAAGGAATCCAATCTCAATCCATTAAAATTATGAATTTTAGGTTAATTTGCTTAATTTCTCATTTGTTTCTACTATTAATTCATTCTGGTTTAGCTACGCAGAGGTAAGAACTCCACTGAGAGTCAAGTGCTGCAGATTTTTTCCTCAGTCCCTCTCTTAGTTTTGAGATGGCACAATAATTATGAAAGCAGAGTTCAAGAAGGTTTGTGAGGTTTCTGTGCTCCTGTCGAGTTGGACG